ATACACTTCTTATAAAAGCCGTGTAATATTTATAAACATCTGGGGTTCAATGTGGCTGCTGAAACCTAAACATGCCCCCAGCAGCAGAACAAAGCAAGTGGCAGGATCTGGGTTTTGGCAGAACAACCTATTGCCTTACTCTGTCTGACCCTTTGATAGAGGCCTTTTATTTTTTTGACCAGTGTTTAGGTACCAGCAACTAAAGGAATTATGGAGGTGCTGAGAGGTAGGTATCGTACAGTTTGTAGTCGCAGTATAGGTTCAGGTGATCACATTTTCTTTTGGAGCAGGAAAGGTTAGGTTTTTGTTGCATGTATTACCGATCAGTAGTGTTCCCATCACTTCCTCTGTTAATCAAAGTGGTGCTAAATAATAACATGAGCTAGAAAGTACTACAAATCTCAGCGATACAATATACAGCAATGCTGAATGACAACTAGCTACAGAGGACTACAAATCCCAGCAATACGTTATACAACAATGCAGAATACCACCAGCTATAGAGGACTACAAATCCCAGCAATACGCTCTACAACAATGCAGAATACCACCAGCTAGAGAGGACTACAAAATCCCAGCAATACATGATATTTTGCACTGATGTATATTCAGCAATGCAGAATAATATGAAGCCAGATACTCTAGTGTTGCTCACCAGGTCTGTGCGGGGCCCCCAAGAGGCTGTGCGTAGCGTCCCACCAGGGCTGTGTGGGCGGCGGAAAGGAGGAGGAAGAGGAGATGTGCAGGCCGGTTGTGTAAACAGCCACCACGAGGTCCCAGCAAGCGCGGGGCCTTACGGTAGCCAAAGCTATAAAAAAAAAATAAGTGCTGACATCGCCGCTTCATATGTCGGCATTTTCACCAGTATGAGTACTCAATACTGGTATCAGTGCATTGCTATATGCAATACATTTAAACCAGAATAGATTTTTAAAGCCCAACTGAACTTTTTGGTAATCGGCTAAATACATTACTGGTGCATTAAAACAAAGGTGCTCAAAGTCTGTTGTTTTTTTCTGTCCTGCCACAACCTAAGTGGGTGCCTTGCTCTGTGTGGGAACGTATAGGTTTGACATTAGCAAGGCTCATGCTCCCTGGTGATGGGAAAGCTCCGGCTCTGACTCCTCAGGGGGCATGTTGGACCGGCTGTGACGGAACAACAAGGGAGATCGCAGACATATGACATAAGTTCCTGTGGGCATTGAAAGGTTTAATTTTGCTTTTAAAGAAAACAAACTTCCAACCTTTTTGTCTTGATGCACCTGGAATCCAGTGCACTTCGTTTTTTTTCATTTGTAAAAACCCAACAAATTGTAAACCTTCCCCTTTTCATTCAAAATAGTGAAAAATGTCTGGAGCTGACACTGTTCCTTCGAAATGCATGGCTGCGAGTCACTCGCATCCATCTCTGGTGTGTATGAGCCCTGATGAGACCTGTGGTGCTATGTGATCATCCAGGAAACCTACCCATTTTTATGTTGTACCCCAAGTGTCAGTGCTCTGCTTTATAGGGCTGCAGGTGTCAGGCTGGCATTATTTTTCTAAATGTAAAAATGTAAAGTAAATCTGTCATGAGAAAAACTTTTAGGGCTTGTTCACACCATAAACAGTACGTTGTCGAGAGCGGTCAGCTGCTGAAACACACTGTATCACATCCAGGCTGGCTTCCTACATTCAGGGGTGGAAGAGGGTGTGGTGATTTCATGGAAGTCAATGGCACCGCAGCCCCCTCCCCCCTGTGCCCCCCCCCCTGCTGTGCGACTGCCTGCACCAGAACACGTGGCACATCAGTTCCTGTGTTCCAGTCCAGTGCGATCTGAAAAAATAGTGCTTGCAGCACTTTTTTCAGATCGCACTGGACCGGAACGCATGCACTGATGTGCCACACGTTCTGGGGCGGGCGATCGCACTGTATGTCTGCGGTGCCATTGACTTCAATGCACCGCCACTCCCACCCCTGAACGAGGAAGCCATCCAGGATGTGATAGTGCATTCCAGCAGCTGACTACTCTGGAACGCACCGTTTATGGTGTGAACAAGCCCACTAAACCTCCATCTCTTCTCTTTATCAGCCATTTGTTGTTACTTTAACTAAATGCATCTGTCAAATGAGAAGGAAGAACACGGGGCGGCACTGGGATGGGCCTTGCAAGGGAATTTCTCCTTCGCTTCGTGAATGTGGTGAAAATTCACTCTGCATAGACTACACAATCAGGCTCAAGGGGAAAAAACAGTATTTTTCAGCTTAGTGACCCTGTCCTGTGTACTAGCTAGAGTAGTGAACTACAGTTTGATCTTGTTAATGGTCACCTGTGTCATTAGAGAGTCATTAATCATGCTCCTATATCAACAGGTCTGAGAAGCCCTATTACACTAAAGTAGGCATGTCATAAAACGGGATTAAAGGTTGACATGTTTTGCAATGCAAAAAAATGTATTGCAAAACCGTTTTTGTCCAGAACGAGCATTGCGCTGTCCTAAACACAAACATTTTAAATCATCTACACATAATGCAGTCTTTCTGTAGCTAACTCCACACAATAAAAAAAAAAAAGTAAATACATTTTTAACTGTATCTATTGAGTATTTAGGTCCACTGCCAGGGTTTGTGTTTTTTTTGTTTTTTTTAAAATCTATTTTATGGTTGTGTTGGAATATTTTTCTTAAAGAAGACTTTCGAGCAAAACTTTAAGTGTTATTTTTGCACCAAAATGAGTAAAGTTATACTCGCCTGAACCTTGCACTTGGCTGGCTGTTAGAGTCAGGGGTGTGGAAATAAAAAAACAAACAAAAAAAAAACTACTTGTCCAAGGACTAAAGCGGAGGGGAAGGACCTTCACCGGAAGTTAAGTAGGGGGAGGGGGGTCAAAGGGCACCAGATTTGAGCGGGTAATTCCATGTTCCCAAATTACTTGCATAAGTGAACTTACCCATTAATGCACATTGTGCGTGTTAGAGAGCACTGCTGTCTGGCTACCACAATATGGCACACAGTGGAATGGCGCAGCGCACACACACAATTCCAATTTGCTTGCAAGATAGAAAGGGCAATGGGGTTGGTTTTAATTTTTTTTTTCTTTTTATTTCTTAATCACTTTTTTTTTTTTTTTTTTTTTTTTTTTTTTTTTTTTTTTTTTTTTTTTTTTTTTTTTTTTTTTTTTTTTTTTTTTTTTTTTTTTTTTAATCCTTTTTTTTTTTTTTTTTTTTTTACGTTTTAAATTTTTTTCTATTTTTTTTATTTTTGTATCACTTTTTTTAACCTAACTTTATTGCTATCACAGGGCTCACAAGCCCCGATGGGATAGCCGTTGGTGACAGGTTCTCTTTATGGAGCCTGCCCTTCAATACAGGAGATCAAGCACAGCTCTGAGCACAGCGCTCCTGTCTCACAGAGCAGATCGGAGAATGGATGTTCTCCTGTCTGCTCCCTGCTCTCCATCCTCAAGTAATTTGGGGGGGGGGGGGGGGGGGGGATGGCCCGGCACCTTT